CCCCCCGTTGTGAAGCTCATCACCATCAGAGTAGTGTTGATCTTAGTAGCTGTAGAAGATCTCTACCTTGAGCAGTTAGATGTGAAGACTGCCTTTCTTCATGGTGATTTGGATGAAGAAATCTATATGAAGCAACCTGTTGGTTTTATTGAAGAAGGAAAGGAAGAGATGGTGTGTAAGTATAAGAAGAACTTGTACGGATTGAAATAGGCCCGAGACAGTAGTAAAAAAAGTTCGACAACTTCATACAGAACTGTTGTTTGTGGAAAATTTTGCAGTAAAAGAAATAAAGAAAAATTGATTTGTATTCCTTTAATCTCAGTTACAATTGGATTTCCTGATTACAAAAGAGAGGAGAATAATCTGGATTCTCACCTTTGTTTAAATCTAGGTTCTTCACGGTGGTGATGAGATGCCTCCCTCGAATGCTCGCGTCGAGTTTGCTTCTCGTTGACGATCCGATGTCTTGTTTCACTGGAACGTGGTCTTCTCCTCACGATTTGACGTTGTGGAGAACTCTGAACGAGTTTAAAACTCTATGAAAGAGTTGATTTAACCGAAAGTCGGTTATAAGCCAAGGATGAAGAAGATCTTGTTGCACCAAAGGATGAATGCCGATCTCTCAATCTATGATGCTCCAAGATCTCCCCCTTTGCTGCCAAGAAGTTCTAACAGACCGCTCGAACCCCTGAACTGAATTGATTTTCAATTATTTATAGGGGATTAAGGGGTGTAACCACCTCCTTAATTCGCTCCTAAGTGGGGCTAATGTGATGTAACCGCCCCTTAAATCACTCCTGAGTGGAGTTGTGATCCCCTCGGATCGTGGAAAACGGTTTTGGAACCGTTCAGCTCGTATTTGAATGAGTCAAATGCAGGACCTGTATTCTGGAACGAAATCTGTGTTTGAACGCAGTGTTTGCGAGCTGCGTCTGGCAGCGCTTGGAGCTGCGTTGGGTAGCAGTTGGAGCTACGTCTGGCAGCGGTTGGAGCTGCGTCTGGCAGTGCTTGGAGCTGCGTTGGGCAGCGGTTGGAGCTGCGTTGAGCTGCGTTCGGAGCTGCGTTGGGCAGCGGTTGGAGCTGCGTTGAGCAGCGGTTGGAGCTGCGTTGAGCAGCGATTGGAGCTGCGTTGAGCTGCGTTCGTGGCTATGAACGCGATGCGTCTTGATGCTGGTGTGCGGGGAGAACTTCCACAGTTTGATTTGAAGAGACCGTTGATTTGTAGTCTCTTTCTGTCGAAGCATTGCAAAGATCATCATTTTGTAATCTTTGCTTTAGCTCTCTGATATATGAGAGTCGTCAGATTGTAACTCCCGAAGTTGATTATGAAGGCTTGTTTGATTAGAGCTTCCATCAGTTGTCGTGAAGGTCGTCAGATTGTAACCTTTAGCGATCTACGTGAAAGTCTTCAACTTGTAACCTTCTGGAAGTCGTCAGATTGTAACTTCCATCATCGGTGTTTTGATGGGGATCAGCTATCTATTATGATTTTTTGACAGCCTACAACTGTTTGGGGAGAAAATTATTTTCTTCATTAAGGTATTCGTTACAACTTAAGTCATTACAATGAAAATAAAAAGATAGTCTTTTTATAAGACTCTTACACAATAAAAATAAAAAGTACAATTCTCGTAAAAACAAACGCAGAGATCGTTTATCGGTCTTCTGTTTGCGTGGGATCTTTGCCTGTGTCGGGATTAATCCGTGGACCACCGAACGATCAGATCAGATCCGGAGTTTCGTTGATTCGTGAAGGAATCAAGAAACCAAAGTAATTATCTCCGTAACAGCGAGATTATCACTCTTCTCGAGATCACTGCAACGGGGCAATTTCAAGGCAAAGAACCGGGCTGCAGATCTGATGAACTCCTCTTTTTTATGCTGAAGAATTTGCTGAAGTCTCATCCTCCTCTCTGAAATTCGTGGCTCTTCAGTCCTCAATTCAGCAGGGTTTCGCCGACGCTCGAGAATTCCAGATCTGAAAAAATAAAGGCCCTGGAGTTGTATTTATAGGCTTCAGGACCCCTGTTTTCGGATAAGAACGGTCGATTCCCCTTATCCTTAGTTGTAACCACTTAACCACTTTTATGGATGATATTTTTTATCAGTTGGAGCAAATCCAGACGGTTAATAGTGGAAAAATGACTCAAAACAGCTAAAAACAATATTTTTGGGTCTGCGGACACTCATGGATGTCTCGGCCATCCCCTTGGTCGAGACACCACTTGGTGTCTCGCCGAGGTTTGGCTTTGTGAATTCTGTCCGTTTCCACTGTATTTTCTTCATCCGAACTCGGAATCACGTGATTCAAAAAGCATCAGAAAACCAACGAGGAGATCTATAAACTCACATGATTGAATCATATGTGAAATGAATGGGACATGAGGGGCGCTTTGTCTTTCGTAAGTAACGTGCAGCTCGCGGTCCATTCGTGTTTCCGTTGTTCTAAAATTCCGTTGCTTCGCATGGTCCGTCGACTCACCTCATGCGTTTGTCATCGTCATATGAGCTTTTATGACTTGAATAGCGATGTTCATCGTCTTCTCTCTGTCTCGAGCCACGTGCGGGGACCTATAGGTAATTTTTGATACCTACAAGAATAATAGCTATAGAAGATGCAATTCAGATCATTGTTGCTACTTCAAGAGGTTCGAGTCCAGTTTTATCATATTATTATTATATGTTAATGATATGTTAGTTGAAGGACTGAGTTTAGAGGAGATAAACAACTTAAAAAATTAGTTGGCAAAGGAGTTTGCTATGAAGGATCTGGATGTAGCAAAGCAGATTCTAGGGATGTGAATCGGTAGAGATAAAGCTGAAGGGACGTTGAGGTTGAATCAAGATGAATACATCGAGAACGTGCTTCAGTAGTTCAACATGCAGGATGCTAAGGTTGTTAGCACGCCCTTAGAAGCCAATTCAAGTTATCTAAAGAGTAATCGCCTAAGACTGATGCAGATAGAGAGCATATGAGAAGGGTGCCATATTCTTCAGCCATTGGGAGTCTCATGTACACGATGGTTTTCACGAGGCCGAACATTGTCCATGCAGTGAGAGTTGTGAGCAGGTTTGCAAGCAATCTAAGGAAGTAGAATTGAAAGGCCGTGAAGTAGATATTACGCTACTTGAAAGGGACTATAGAAAAAACCATATGTTTTAGGAGAAAAGAGTTGGTACTGCAGGGATACATGGATGTGGACTTCACCAGTTATTATGATACGAGGCGTAGCGTCATGGGGTATGTTTATACCTTGGCGTCGACAGTAGTGAGTTAGGTTTTACGTCTGCAGAAGATTGTAACTTTGTCTACAACTGAAGCTGAGTATGTCACGATGACTGAAGCAAGAAAGAAGATTATTTGGTTGAACAGGTGTCTGGAAGAGTTGGATCTGAAGTAAGGGAGAGGAGCTCTTTATTGTGACAGTCATAATGCTATACATCTTGCCAAGAATCTAATATATCAAATCAGAACAAAGCACATCGACGTAGGATACCATTTTATACGCTCGCTGATTGAGTACTGAAAGTTACATCTAGAGAAGATTTTGGGGAGTCAAAATCCTGCGGATATGTTGACAAAAACAGTGATCATTGACAAAATGGAGTTATGCATAACTTCAGTTGGCCTTCACGTGTAGGAGATGAAAACGGAGCAACACCAAGAGGATCGTCGGGTTGATGATGACTAAAGAATGGATTTTTTTTTCTTGTAAGAGGATGCTTACGAAAAAGGAAGAGTTCGAGTGAGCTTGTTGATTGTGCTATGGTCTCCAAGTGGGAGAATTGTTAGTCTAAGGGATGTAGACTCAAAGCTGCAATCAAAAAATTGTTGGATAGTAGGTTTCCTAATCTGTTTTGGTAACATGATTCTTAATCTGTTTTGATAACAGTATTCTTAATCTGCTTTGGTAACAGGTTATTAGGATTCTTACTCTGTTTTATTTTTTGGTTTTAGGATTCCTAATCTGTTTTGGTTTTAGGTTTTCTATATATATGGAACGCCTTAGAAGAGATTAAACATCAGAAAATAGTGTTTTGAGAGAATTCTTTAGAGAGATCTCAGAGAGATTAGATCCTATTTGTGGGCATTGTAATCTTCTTTAATATTAATCAAAGAATTATGTGGTGTGACTTCCGAGGATGTAGGCACGATTGCTGAACCTCGTTAAATTTGGTGTGTTCTTTCTTGTTTACTTTCCTGCAAGCTTTTATCTTTTATTACTATGATTTTTTTCTACTATTTTACACTCAAACACAAGATCCGAAAGGGCAATTGTTCGATTTGATTGTTTCGAATCCCCAATAGTTTGTGAATTAAATGGCAAAAATGAATAATGGGCTTACATTGTCAACAGAAGGATTCAAACCTGCGCAGTCAAAAATACCAACAGATTTCGACTCTGTTTCCTTTACCACTCGGACGTATCACCGATGTTTGCAATTTATCAAATATATTTTATTTAATAAAACAATATACTTCTCTGAGCCGTACGGATCATCCTCTTTCAGTTCTCAAGTGCCAACTGAATGACGAATATAGCTTGTGCTTTTCTTGCTGTGTTTCGACTACTTTTTAATCTAAAATGTCACAAAAGATTAGTGATTAGAAACTATTTGAACAGTTACAAATAAAACCACCAAGTCTATAAACTGAATTACAAATAACAATACCTGTCACCTTAATCAAGGAGACCTAATTTATTTAGCATATATACGGAGGTATAAATGAATGAGCGTCAACACGTGACTATCTGAAGCTGAGACAAGTGGTGACATGCATAAGCTCATGATTGGTATATGCGTAGTTTAGACTATTACCTATATATGGTATTAAGGGAATCTGTGTTGTGAGGTTTAATGAGAGAGAGAGAGAGAGAGAGAGAGAGAGAGAGAGAGAGAGAGATGGGAAAAGGATGGGCGATCGCTCTTCACGGTGGAGCCGGAGACATTCCCTTGATGCTACCTCCTGAGAAGAGGATCCCAAGAGAGGAAGCCCTCCGCCGCTGCCTTGATCTTGGCATTGCCGCTCTCAATGACAACAAGCCCCCACTCGATGTTGTCGAGCTTGTCGTATTATTTTTCATCTTAATTTCTCCCTCTTTCTATTTATTGTTTAAGTTTCAATCTAATCTAATTTACAGAATTATATTCACAAGTTCAATCTAATCTAATCTATTTATTGAGACTTCCACCTATATATAAGGGTCATTGATAATTAAATTGCACTTACATTCTTCCCTTTATTAGTTAATGAGAAGGAGATATACATCCTGAGCTTTTTTTGTGAACACCCTTTTAGTGGTATCCAGAAATTAAGACAGATCAGTGATCATCTATGATGTCCACCAACACCGTGTTCAGCCTGGTTTACGACACTTTTGATAAGATTTAAGGGAATCATCTATGCTTTTTATTTGAATGGGAAAATAGGATTAATGTAGCGGATCTTGAAAAATTTTTGGGATGATATATGCCTACTGGTTTATAGCGTCTAAGTGACCTAATTAAAAAAAGGGCAGTCTGGTGGATGAAGCTCCCGCTATATATGAACGGGTGCGGGAACGGATGGGCCACTTTTGAGTCCATTGAGTCTTACCTTACATTTTTCAGAAGAGGATGTCTCCACGAATTGAACACGTGACCTTCAAGATCACATGAAGGTCACACGGCGACAACTCTTACTGTTGCACGAATGGAACTAGTTTCTGCTTTGTGTTATATTAGGGTGCTACTACAGGGACTCCACAGGGGTCCAAAATAGGGGACCTAATGGGGGGACAGGTGAGGTGCCATCCATTAACGCATGATGCATTGTTCATGAACAGTGCATCATGCGTTAGGGGGGGCACCTCACCTGTCCCCCCTTGGGTCCCCTAATTGGGGTCCCTGAGGCATTTTTGTTTTCTAAATTGCTTCGTCCTTTCCATTATTCTCAATTAAAAATGCTGCCAAAGATAACTCTCGAGTTCAGAGGAATTATTGTATACTGAAAACCTCTTTGCACATTTCCCATATGGACTAAATTTACATACTTACTCATTTAGGTTTTGGCATCCTCGCTAGATTAATTATCTTGGGGATGTGGGATTCAATTAAATACAGCATGAAAAGCATAGGCCAATATCGTGAACATCAATAGCTGCTACTTGTCATGATCTTTTGTACATTCCTTTGACTGGAATTCTTTGCAGGTTCGTGAATTAGAAAACTGTCCACACTTCAATGCAGGCAGAGGTTCAGTATTGACTTATGCTGGTACAGTTGAAATGGAAGCATGCATTATGGATGGTAAAACAAAAATGTGTGGAGCTGTCTCTGGCCTTTCTACAGTTGTTAATGCCGTATCCCTTGCTCGACTTGTGATGGAGAAAACCCAACATATTTACCTAGGATTTGATGGTGCCGAGGCTTTTGCAAGGGAACAAGTTAGTTTACTTTTCTTTTCTTTTTTTCTCTTTATTTGTCTTTCCTAAGAATTCGAATCTACTAATACCGTATTTATGGTTGCATGATATAGAAAATAAATTAGGTTCTTAATAACTGATATGAATGCAGTATTAAATTGAGCTTCATGCATGGAATTTATGATTTAGTAGTTTTATAACTTTACCTTGGTAATTTGCACATTATCACATGCATTCCTCCCATTCTCTGAATCATGTTGGTTAAGATATATTATGGATTATGCAACATTTCTGTTCCAATGTTTTCCTTTTTGAGAAAAAAGTCTACAGACGAAATGTAGGTGAATTATGTTGGAGAAGTTCATCATTTGAGATTTTAGCTTGAAAATTTTAGACATTCTGGTTAAAGTTCAAAGTTTATGAAACCATAAATTTTTATCTTCACCCACAAAAAAACATCAGAAGCTAGTCTTCAAAACTTAAAAGCTAGGAAAAACTACAATCAGATTTGGACATATTTAAACTAAGGGCCCATTTGAATGACAAGAAGTATCTTAACTAAAAAGTAAATCAAAGAAGTAACTTAAAAAATTATGAAGTAGGAAGTAATGTAAGTAGTACTGTTTTTGTTTGTTTCACATATTTACAGAAGTTGCAGAAATAGTACTTCCTCCTTTTCATTTACATTTTTTTTTATTGTTTGGATAGCTCTTGGTTAGGAAGACAGGAAGAGGATCTTTGAGATTTTATTTAGAGTGAGGCATATCTACAAATAAAAAAACTAATTTTATTTTTTAAATGGATACACAGTTCAGGTACTTTCTGAGGTATTCCGAGCCATGCGCTCTATGCTTGTTAGCTTATGAGATTTATGGGCTGGTTAGAAAAGAATAGTTTGTTGAATGTTAGATGCCCAGAGACTGAAAAATAATAAATCCAAATTATCGTACATGTAATGGTTTGACTGATTTATACTTTAGTAATCATTATTGTCTGTTGGATATTTTTTTTTGTTGTGTCCAAACCTGCTAAATGTTAAAGGATTATGCGGACTGAGAATATAGATCCTGAAATTACACAGCTCGGTTATTTCACCTTTTTTTTGCTGTAGTTTTCCTCCTCTCTTTTTATTAATGTCTGAAGGCTTCATCTCAGCATGTGCAATTTTATCGGAAAACCTCTTCTGTTTTTAGCTATGCTATCGCATAACTTCTAACTGATTGGAATAAATCTAAATTACTCAGGGTGTTGAAACTGTAGATACATGTCATTTCATAACATCCGAAAATGTGGAAAGACTAAGAAGAGCGAAGGAAGCCAACCAAGTGCAGGTATGCAGTTTCTCTGATAATTGATCCCTCTGCGTCTTTCCTTAATGTGCACTAAATAATGGCATCTAACTTTATTGATATTGCTTAACAATCGAATATTGACAGTACTATCATTTGACAAAGGTGACTTTCACCACGAGCTTAAAAATCAGTAGCTTTTTTATTATTTCTGTCAATTACAAAAAGGTATTACCTTTCGTTATGCGCCGGGCAGTGGGTTCCAGGATTTACGTATGAATTGTTATCCAAACATGCTATGTAGCTTATATATCATTAGTCTGTCTCTGTTTTCTGTAACTTATCGACGCATGATATGTTATAACAAAACTTAGGAAGTTAATAAGGCCAGTGAGCTCCCTTAATTAAACAAAGAGGAAGAGGAAAAAGCATTGACATCCTCAATAGTTGCAGAATATACCCTCACATGTCAAGCCCTTAGCACTCTGCAGTGGCTGACCTAGGAATTATGAGAAGGAGGGGCCAAAAAAATTAATAGCTAAATATGATAATATGCATAAAAAAATATGTTATTCATTATTATCTAAACATCACTAGCAAGACTTCCAACATTGATTTTCAAATTAGAATATAGTGTTTACAACAATATTCTTCTTGCCTTAATTCTTGAAATCTTTTCATGACGTCTTCATAATTAATATTATAAAATATATCTTTTTCAATATAGACACCAAATAACCATTCATGTACGCGTCTCTCATTCTATTTTAAGGTCATTCTTAATAATTTTTATTGTCAAAAATCTTCTTTCAACACTTGTTGTTACAACGGGCAAGATTAGTGTCAACTTCACCAACTTGTACATTAAAGGATATAAAGTATCAATATTCCATTTAACCAACTTCTTAGCAAATTTACCAATTTCTTAATTATCAAAACATTCATGATGAGTAGCTACATAAGAGATACAATTTTTCATAGAGTTTCAGTTTTAGTGCAAAGGCTTTTTACACTTTAGCCCCCTTCATTTATTGGAAATTGAGATCTAGAATTCAATGGCTCAAAGAGGGTGATAACGATACGGCATTCTTTCACAAATCTGCTTCCCACCATAGGAAAATTAACCACATCCCTCACCTCTCTATCAATAACATCATTCTTTCTTCTATAACAGAAATCAAACAAGCTTTCTTTTACTACTTCTCCAATTTTTTCAAATCCCATGCAGATTCTAGGTTCAATATCAATTGGGACTTGTTATATTCACCTTCTACCATTGATCTACCCCCCTTAGATTCTCCTTTCTCTGCGGAAGAAATCAAATAAGCAGTTTTTGACCTCCACCCAGACAAATCCTCAAGCCCTGATGGTCTCCCTATCCTCTTTTGCCAGAAATTCTGGTCGGTTATCCATCATGACATCACCTCCTTCATTCAGTCTTTGCATTCAAATGTCTATCCTCTTCATAACATCAACTACTCTTTCATCTGTCTCATTCCCAAGAAGGACGGGGCAGACAACCCTGCAGACTTTAGACCTATTAGCCTTATCAACAGCTTAGTGAAAATATTCTCTAAAATCTTAGCTAACAGGCTCAGCCCCTTTATCCCCTCTTTGGTAGATAATTCCTAGTCTGCCTTCCAAAGTGGCAAATCATCACTTGACCCCATCCTTCTCGCTCATGAGTTGATCAACCATTGTTCTACTGGCAAAAAAGATATGTGTACCATAAAATTTAACTTCTTCAAAGCTTTTGATTGTTGCACTCGAACTTTCTGCTTTCCCTTCTTCAAGCCAGAGGTTTCAGTCCTATTTGGTGCCACTGGATTCACTATATCCTATCATCTACCAAATCAGTTGTTCTTGTTAATGGTTCCCCCACACCTTTCTTCAAATATCACAGAGGACTCAAACAAGGTGATCCCCTCTCTCCCTTACTATTTCTATTAATTATTGATGCTCTTAACAAAATGATTATAGATAGTGTTCAAGCAGGAGATCTCTCATAGCTGAATATCAAGGGTGAGCTTAACCATATCAGAACCCTCCAATTCACCGATGACACCCTTAATTTTTACAAAGCAACCCTCAGTGACATCTTTACTCTCAAAACCATTTTGTTCTTATTCGGTCATATATTAGGGCTTAATGTCAACCAGTCCAAAACTCAACTCTTTTACCTAGGTAAAGTTCCCTGTAGGGGAGCTCACCTGGCCAATTCTCTGTCTTGTGCAGTTGGTTCCATCCCTTTCCATTACCATGGTCTACCTCTCCAGAAAACTTACGTTATGGAAAAACAAGTCCTTGTCAATTAGAGGTAGACTCACTCTAATAAATTCAGTTCTATCCTGTCTCCTTCTATACTATATATCATTTTTAAACTCCCTACCGGCTCACCAAGGCTATAGATAAAAATCAAAAGATCCTTCCTATGGGGTGGTCATCAGCAGACCACATCAGCTAAATGCTTGGTCAATTGGAGAAAAATTTGCACTGCTAAGAGTGAGGGTGGATTAGGAGTCATCAACCTACAATCTTTCAACACTACTCTCCAATCTAAATGGATATGGAAAATTTTAGATAGAAAATCTTACATCAGTAAAGTCTTTTCTCTATATACTCCTCTAATTTTTTCAACCCAATATCTAGCCCCCCTAAAGCTTCAGCATCAAAACCGATTAAAGATCTTTACTCTATACAAGACCCTTTCTTTAGCCAGGTTATTTGGCAGCTAGGTGCAGACAATACATGCAGATTTTGGGTGGACAAATGGGTGGGAGATAACACTTTCAGTAGCGGGGTAGCCGGAGCGATGAAGGGGGGTTGAGGAGAGAGAGGGTACGGTGGAGGAGGCTGTCGGAGGGGCTGTGGGGGAGGGGGGTGTGGGTGGTTGCAGGGATCTGAGAGAGAGAGCGCATAGACAGGAGAGAGAAAGATAATGTTGGTGGCGGCTGTATTCGTGAACAGGAGAGGGTTTTGGTTACGGGATATTTATATACATATATAATATTAGGGTTAGGGTTAGGTATTTAAAGCAAAAAATAATTAAAATAAATAATTACGGGTATTTAAAAATTAAACTAATTACGGAATAATTATCTACTAAAACATACCAGTTGTATTAACAACCGCTGATACGCAACTGAAGAAATAATACTATAAATTGTACAATTATATAAGAATAATTAATAAAACATATAATTATTTATTTTAAAATCAAATAATTATGGAATAATTATCCACGCGATAAAACGTACCGGTTGTGCTAATACGACAGCTGATACGCAATAATTAAAATAATACAATAATTTACACAAATAATACGTAATTAATAATTCAACAGAATACACGAAATAATACGTAATAGTAACAATAATACAACGTATTATTTAAAATAATATGTAATAGTACTGATAACACAACAGATTAATTCTAGAAATTTTTACCGCACAAAATAAATTTATAAATATTAAAATTATTTAAATAAATATAAAATTTAGACTTTAAAGAGTGGAAAATTCTAGAAAATCAAGAAAAATACAAATACTCTTTTAAAAATCATAATTAATATTTTTAAAATACGAAAAAAATTATTTTAACTAGTATTAAATTTTACGGTCATTACAAACAAGCTCAACACTAAAGATAATCTCTCAAAACAAGGATGGAACGGGGAACAAATCTGCTCTCTATGCAAGAACGAAGTTGAAACGCATGATCATTTCTTTAATAATTGCTCTATCACCAGACAAGTTTGGTCTATTCTTATCCAGTATGAACAGATAGGGAACTGGCCACAAGATATTAATTCTCTCTTCTCAGTTAAGAACACCCACTTGTCTAACAGGAAGCTTAAATTTTCTTGGAGGGTCATCTTCCCTTGCTGCTACTGGTGGATCTGGACCAGCAGAAACAACCTTGTCTTCAATGATATTCATGTATCCTCCAACACGCTAATCTAGCTCGTTTCACTCTTTTCTGGATAGGAGCATCAAGCAGTAGAAAGACAGCAGCTCTCCACAAGGCAACCTTAGATCTGGGACTGAAGGAGTTGGCCAAAGACTGTAGGGGTGATGCAGAGGGAGAAAACTTCTAATCTACCACCTCCCTAGCTTTTGCAGTGATCTTCTAAGTCTTTTGTAATTAAATTAGCAAACTTTCCAGTTGATACTTCTCATCTCTTTAGCTATGATCCTATTGGAATAGATGGAAACAAAGCAGCTATGGCCTGGATGGTGACGACAAGGTCCGCTCCCCTCCGACCACATCTTCTTTTGGTTCCACCCCCTATTTTTACTTCCAAAAAAAACTATACACCTTTTTTGGATATTTAAAAAGTTCCATTACCACCAGAATAGAAGGTCAAAAAAATACTCTTATGCATACGCAAGGAAAACAAAAGACAAGATATTCTAATATAAAGCAAATTCAAAAACTACAAACATGAGACAACTCAAGCATTGAACAAGATAGAATGTAACTTACTGGGTACGAAGGGGCGGTCTGATGGTACACTTTGCAGGTGATTTTTTTCTTGCTAATGTGCACCTCCGCTGAGATCTAATGGCGAAAAAGAAGAAGAATAGTGGGAAAAAATCTTTAACATTGGCCTTAGAGCTGCTAATTCGAGTTTGGCTGACTCTAGGGATCATTTTGATGTTAGTTTCGTTGATGACGATGAAGGATCTTCCTCAATAATGGGTTCTACTGGCCTTAAGGGGGAGAATAAGAAGAGATCCATGGTTGATATTCTTCATTCTACAACTGCTATTGTAACTCCTCAGATGATTGGAGTTCAAATCAGACAACTTAGTAAGTCTCCTCTCTCTTTAAATGGCTCTAAGAGAGTGTCCTGGGCTGACGATATTGATTTAGAGAAGGATTCTCCTTGTTCTTCTTGTTCTCTACATCAATCTCCTTTTTCATCAAGAGATCTTGGTACTGCTCCATTGATTTCAAAATCAAAGCCTGATTCAGTTACTGTTACATTGAACTCTGTTGATTGTCTAATTAATGGAGATAGTTTGAATAATGGGGATAATCTTAGTTCAAATGTTGAGATTTTGGGGAATGAGAATCATGTTTCTCCTCCTGAGGGTTCTATAATTGTTGTTAATCCTTCGGATCAAAACCTGAACAAAGAAAAGCTGGGCAAGTCTTTTTTCAGACAACAGGATACCAAGTTGTGGCTTAGATCTGAGTTGTGTTCCATTTGAAATGCATGATACAGTTACTTTTGATGAAGAGGAATGGAATGAGGGTGCCTCTATATGGAAATTTTCTCTTGTTGGTCAAGTGTTGGGGATCAATGTTAGATTCCAAGCTATGGAAAACTTTGTTAAAAAAGTATGGGCTCATATTGCAAATCCTGAAATATGTCTTCGTAGAGAAGGATTTTTTCTTTTTAAATCCAATACTAGAGAAGATATGAATGAAATTCTTACAAGAGGTCCTTGGTTTTTTAGCTCTAGACCTCTCTTATTAAAAGTCTGGTCATTGAGTGAGGATTTTGACAAAGTGGATGAATGTATTTATCCTATGTGGATATAGCTACCTACACTTATGCTAAACCTGTGGAATGAGAAAGGTATTAGTAAAATTACAAGTCTCATTGGTAGGCCTATAGCTACTGATAAACTTACTACAAATAGGCAAAGATTGGCCTATGCAATGGTGTTAATTGAAGTTAAATTGCCCACCTCTCTTCCTAATCAGATTGTTGTGAATGGTCCAAATGGAAAACAATATAATTAGAAGATAATCTATGAATTGAAACCAAGAGTGATACGGGTGTATCTCCTCTTCGGAACTTATTGATCCTCATGAGAGATTGAGGATAGATGATTCTCATGATTACTTAAGAATAGAGGTATAAAATAATACAGTGGAACGCAGGTCGAAGCATGGAACGAGACGACGAATCGAAGAATCGAAGCATCCAATTTTTAGCTCGTGAATCGACTCATACATGCATATGAGTCGACTCATCAGGTTGAGTCGACTCATGCCTGTCATGAGTCGACTCACGAAACCCAGCCGTTTTGTCAAAAGTTTCTGACCAGTCGACTCATGACTGTCATGAGTCGACCCATATGTCATGAGTCGACTCATATATGCACATGAATCAACTCATGATGGTTTCCTGGTTCGTTTAGGTTTCTGTTTACACGAATTCCTGTGGGGTTTAGGCTTGGTTATTTACCACTTTGTCATCCATGTTGTTACACATATATAAGGGATTGTTTTAGGGGTTTAAAACAATCAAGAGAGATTAGATTGTATTAGAGAATTGAGAGAGATTGTTCTCCAATTCTAGTGAGATTGTAAGAGATTGTAAACTATTTAATTCTCATAATCTAGAGAAGGGATTTTCCTTCACCACCACTGAATTATCCTTGTGTTCTTGTTATTTTTTTCTCAACCATCTTTGATAATTCCGCAATCAAAGGTGCTCGCACGACGACTCTTATCAAGTTGGTATCAGAGCGATCAAATCCTGTGAAGGGAGCATCCTGTATATGGTCCTGACTCGATCGCAATATAAGAAGTTAGACGAGATCCTTATTTTATTAGAAGGGGTCCAGAAATTAAGGAAGAAGAAGATGACTGAAGGAGATAGTTCAACGAGGCTAGATGTATTAGAGAAACAGATGGAGACAATAAGTTCGACTCTCACATAACTCATCAATATCTTTCAAGAAAAGGACAAAAAGGAGGAATCTTCTTCGAAAGGCAAGAAGAAACTTGTAGAGTCCGATGGAGAATGCGAGAAATCTGATTCTGATAGGGAGGCCGAGACTGTCAAAACTGTTCCGCATCAAGAGGGTAAAAATTACTACCAAATTTTAAAAATTGATTTTAAGATGGAGATTCATGTTTATGATGGGAGTGTCAATGTGGAGAAGCTCGATGGTTGGATCGAGCGTATGGAGATGTATTTCACTCTCTATGGATATTCATCCAAGGAGAAGATTGTATTCGCGACTTTGAAGCTTTCAGGGCATGCGTTGATGTGGTGGAAATTGTACTACAAACAGGAGAAGAAGGTGGTGTCGTGGAACAAGTTTAAGGAGCTACTGAGAAAGCAGTTCTATTCAGTGGGGTTCCTTGAGGAGCGTTGGTACAAGTGGTACGGCTTGCGCTAAAGATTCAATCAGATCGTTCAAGAATATACGACGGAGTTTCAGCAGCAGACGATGGTTCTCAACATCGCGATGGAGGAATATTCCATCTTTATGAAGTATATGGCGGGCCTGAATGAATATATCCGAAAGGAGATGAAGTTGTTCACAGTCGAGTCCTTAGCAGAAGCGAGTGTAAAGGCCATTACCATTGAGGGCAGGTCAAAGAAGGGTAACGAAACGAAGGGAGACTCCAAACAGACATGAGGCAAGTCGAGTGGCTCTCATCCTAATGAAGAGAAGAAGAAGGGTGATTCGGGGAAAGCAGGATTGACATGCAATCACTGCAAACAGACAGGACACGTAGTTGATCGTTGTTGGGAGAAGTATCATCATCTGAAGCTAAAAGGATTGAAGAAAAAGAAGGAGAAGAAGGCATATGTAGTAGCTCAGGGTCCGAAGGAAGTTCCCGGCATGACAGCACCCAATAGCAGTCTCAACCTTATGGCGGGGAAGCAGAACACGACGGAGGACAAAGACCTGAGGGAGCAGCTCTTTGTTTTGAAATTTCAGGTCAAGACCAGCTTGGTTAATGCCATAGTGAATCTAAGGATCCAGAAGAATTTGATATCTGACACCTTGGTTCAAAAGCTAGGATTGAAGACGGTTAAACATCCGTAACCTTATCCTTTAGGGTGGATTTAGAAGGAGGCGGAATTGAGTGTAGTCAACCAATGCACTTTTAGATTTATACTTCATAAGTCGTATATTGATGAGGTCACATGTGATATCGTTTCGTTGGATGTTTGCCAAGTAATACTGGGCAATCCTTATTTGTGGGATAGGTTTGCGGTCTACGATAGGCGAGCCCAGAAGTATACGTTCACCAAAGAGGGCGAGCAATTCATATTTCGTTCGACATCTCTTCCACAGGAAACGAGTTTGGTGACAATGACTCAAGCAAAGAGGCTAGTGAATACAAGCAAGAGGTTTATATTGTTAGTCATTAGGCCTTATGAGGAGCAGCTGAGTAGGGTGTGCTTGACTACCTTGAGAAAGTTTCAGGAGGGAGAGCTTGACAGGTTGAAAGCCAAGTACGTGGACTTGTTTTCGGAGATCACGGGACTACCACCACGATGGGGTGTGGAACATGAGATTATGTTGACCGACGAGAGTTCTTTGCTGAATATAGGTCTATACCGCATATCTGTAGAGGAGTCTTAGGAGATCAAGAGGCAAGTTCAGGGGCTTTTACTTTTGGAGACATGAGTGATTGTACCGAGTTGTTCCCCTTGCGGGTCACCAGTGTTGTTGGTACCCAAAAAAGATGGAGGCTGGCGTATGTGTGTGGATTACTAGGCGCTCAACAAGATAACCATCAAGAATCGATACACATTACCTCGGATTGATGATCTTATGGACCAGTTGGAAGGAGCGAGGTTTTTCACGAAGCTGGATTTGAAGTCTGGTTACCATCAGGTGAGAATTCGGGAGGATGACACTTGAAAGACTGCGTTCAAGCCCAATCAGGGCCTGTTCGAGTGGTTGGTGATGCCGTTTGGATTGTGCAATGCTCCAGCTACCTTTATGAGACTTATGAACGATTTGTTGCGACCCTTGTAGGCGTATAAAATTACTTATAGGTCCCTTAGCACAGCTCGACACTAACCGACGAACCATCGGGCGACGTATCTAAACGCGAGCGTTAGTCCACAACGCCGAAGCCATGTGACACGCAATGAAGCGGATTAACGAGGCGACGAGGTTAACGAACCGCACGCAAACAATGGAATACATCCATTCGCATGCGGAATCAAGCTAACAGTTCGGTGAGTCAACGAGTCATCCAACCATAGAACGGATTTGAACTCAAACACCGAAGCGGGTTTACTACCAAATCGGGATTCAGATCAACAAATCAGAGTCCAAATCAAC